ATTTACATGAAATTTAATCATTTTAAAAGCAAAAAAAAAAGGTCATTTTAGTAAAACAAAAATGCTGCCTTTAAAAACAAAATAAACTGCCTAAACAATTTAATATGCTTAGCAATCAACTGTCTCCTCTCCCGTTTACAGAACGTTTTCAGCTGTTGAATAAGAATTTTTCATGCATTTTTAAAATAAACTGCCTCTAATTTTAAGATACATTTACAAAGAATACAAGAATTCCTCATGAAATATATTTTATCATCTTTGAGAGGTAGATAACTGTAGGTTTCAGCTCTCTTTTTTTAACCTTAAAAATCAGTAATGAATAATTACAATGAAAAAATTAGTACCAATGACTAACTATACTTACTAATAAGGAAAGTTTCTTTAAAATTACTTTTTAATATTAAACTACAACTAATTATCAAAATATTGTTCCCTACCAGCTAAAATATTATTTTAATCATCCAAACTAAGTGTCCCCGACCCCAAATGTTTTATTTAGGGCACAATTATACATACTACTTTTGTACAACAAAAATTATGCTTCGTGAAGTTCAAAACAAAATGCCTCTTGGTAATATCAATTTAAGTCAGAGCCTGAGAGAAGGAAAACTTGATTAGATATTTACTACAAAATTCTTCATTTACATGATTGCTTTTTCTTCATGAAGCAAAAATAATGCTGACTTTTCTACGAAAGACTATAAAGAGGAGAAAGAAGCCACTGACCCTCTATTCCTCTTGTTCTGTAGTACAAAATATTTGAGATCCTTGTGAAAATTACTCTATGCTATAAGGTTGCCAGAAAACAAACTATAGTAATGGGGAAGAGGTGGAGCTTAGCTAAACATGGATTTCCCACCCACCTCTCCCCCCAACTTTTCCCATACAAGCAACCTCTACTAATAAAACAAAGCACCCTTTAGCAAGTAGCTCCCTAAGGAACCTATCTCTCCTTGAGTGCTTACCACAATCTGATTTCTGGACAGCTGACCCAAAGTTTGATGATTTTACTGATCTTCAGAAAGCCACTGACTGGCTAAAGTCTTATTGGTGAACAGAGTCAAAAATCAGATGCCCCTGCCATACTTTACAGAATGAGGAGTTGGACAGCACAGTTACGTTTGGCTGTACTGTGGTGAAACAAATGAGGCATCTTCTTTTTGTCTTCAATTAGCCACGTTTGGGCTGAGTAGCTCTATTACATCTTCAAAAAACTGAGCTCCAGTTCTTGATGGAGATAGAGGAAGGTCATTGAGGAGGTGGTTCAGCTCAAGAGCTAAGTGAAAAATCTGTCTTTTGATTCAGTCCTGCTTGTGGATAGAAGTCATCTTCTGGATGGAAGAGGGAGTGAGATGACCTAGAGTCTTGAATTGGTGGATCTGCAGGAACAGAAACTAAATACAGTGGAGACCTCTTAACTGAGTAACACCACGAGATGGATTTCCTGACAATGTGTCAATATAAGCTAAATATAAAGATTAAATATGTGCACTGGAAATGATCATGCACTTGTTTTTCCAGATATCAAATGCATTTGCACCATTCTATGAATAAATACGTTTTCCCAATAACTAACTTCTGTAAAATAATTTATGGAAAAACAACCAATTTAAAGGGGGAAAAAAGACCCATTCAAACAAAAATCCATATACTTTTGCTTTGTGAGTGCCATATCCTCACTTTAAAAACTCAGTTCTTTTGAATGACTTATTCTTTCCATCTACACAAACCACAATCTGTCTATCCATATAGTGTCAGCAGTAATATATATCAAATTCTGAGTTGTATCTTTTAGGATTTCTTATCCCCCAGAGAAATGAAATTCAAATACACTCAATGTAGTAAATTGAGGCTTGAATAATCGACCTGCTCAAAAATTCTGAGAACTGGATTAAGTAAGTTGAGTCCTACTTATCAATCAAAAAGAGAGTATATACCATTAAGGCAGGCAATCTTTAAATATAAGTAGGGATCACCTTAAATTTTCCTTAAACTTTCATCTGGAAAAAAACTAAGAAAGCCCACAACCAGATTACAGTGGATCTAGTTTTAAATTTCTCTATACATTATTAAGAATTCTGATGAACATCTGATTACTTACTCCCACTTAGAATTTGAGTACGTAAATTTACTGTATATACTCTCATAATTATTAGACCAAGGGTCACCAAACTATGGCTTGTGGGCCAAATACAAACCGTCACTTCCTTTTGAAAATGAAGTTTTACTGGGACACGCCACGCTTATTTAATTATGTACTTACTGTCTATGACTAGTTTCATGCTACAATGGCAGAAAAAGTATTTGGAACAGAGACTGCAGAACCTAAAATACTAAGAACTGTCCCTTTTCAGGAAAAAGTTTGCCAACCCCTAACACAGATGATTATTAAAGCATACATAAAACAATTTACACTTTAAGTTGTTTTGAAAGAAAGAAAACAAATAGAATTAAAATTAGATATAGGCCAACCATAACAAACTTACCATAAAAAGAAACCCAAAGTAAAATAAGTCCCAAGAGGACACTTTACTTGGTGCTGATTCAGATGAAGAATTTGATCCTACCTTAACATTACCAGTTTATTTTTAAGAGTATATACTATGCTATGTAAATGCTATGGAACTGATATATTCAAGAGTTATATAGATAAATGCCATGGAACTGTTCACTTAAAAATGGTTTATTTTATGTTGTGAATTCATCTCAATAAATTATTTTTTAAGAGTATATACAGTATTTTACAGGTTTCTACCTTTAAGTGGGCCACATTATATTGCAGTGGTTAAATATGTAAGTTACATCTTACCTAATAATGTGGTTTCTCCAAAATCTCTTAGATCATCTCAGACCCTTGTGTATATTTCTTCTTTGCCAGTAGATGGAGACAACACCACTGAAAGTTTAAAAGACATCATTCCCTGTTTAAAGGGAGCTTGCTGGTCTGAAAACTAGGGGAACCCTAACCCAAGATTTCTTCAGTTATTTTTTAAAAAAAGCAGACAGAATGGCTATGCCAAAACCAGAAATCCAAGGGATTATACCGAATATTAACTATGGACATCCTCAAAAATTTACTGAAGGGAGACTAAACTGTACACAATTTAGTAGCTAATAAATCATAATAATAAAATGCAATCATCTCTGTAACTTATAAGATTCAAACTTCCTGCTCAATGCTCCTAATTTAGGCTAGAATATTTATTTTTCAGTTTCAGAAAGTGTAATTCAGAATATTTAAGAAAAAGAGTTCTTTGAATTCCAGAGGTAGATGCAGTACATGTATGGTGTTTATAAGTATTAGTTTATGCACCGCTAGAAGACTTTTCTTCAAAATAAGACAACTATCCTGATCAACATAAAAATCATAAGAACTTTATTAAAAAAAAAAAGAAGAGAAGGCAGAAATGGTGGAAGCAGCAAGAAAAAATTCAACTGTATGGTCACAATAAAAAGAAATGCTCATGAAAGGGAAGAATCAAACTCATCTACTTTCCAAGTTTCTTACTTCACTACTAAAAATGATATAAACAAACCAAAATTGTCTGCAAGAAACAAATTTCAAATCTGAAAGCTTAAGTCATCAAAAAATAATTATTTAATATGTTTCAAATAACAACTTTCCTTTCCAAATTCAGAGCCTGAACAAAAAACGAAGTTATCAAGCTAAAGAGAGAACTGAGGTATTACTGAACTATTTATATTTGCCACAAGACTCCTGTCCTTGATGCGGACTAAACAAGAACAACCCATTTGGCAGAAAATGTCTTATTAAGAAAAAAGATTACATTAAGCCAAATAATATCTAGTTAAAAAGAAATACAAAAATCTTAAAATCCTTTATTTTTATGTATATTTTGCTCATTCTGTAATCAAAAGCCAGAACTAAAACAAGCTTCCACAGAAGGGAAATTAATATAGTGCTCAAATATTAGCATGCCTGAAATGCCTATCTAGGTTAAACCAGAACTAACAATAATTGCTAAAATAAATTCTCTTATGACTCATTACAAGATAAAGTAGGTAAAGCAGATCCCAAACCACAAACTTCTATTTAACTCTGAATAATTTTTTGATTCCCAAAAGACAGGAACTATCATGTGGCAAGAAAACTACACCCATATTCTAACTGCCTATTAAGAGCACAAACAACCATGAGCTCCTTTCCATCTTCCACACAGTAAATGTTCTGCAGCTTTATTTAATCCTTGGGTTGGCTTCCTCTTGACAAAGAACAAACTTTTTGACCCTTTCCCAACCCTTCAACAACTGGTGTGTATGAAGGTAATGCTAATTAAGTAACCACCACCACCACCACAGAAAGGCACTTGCAATTTTCAAAGTGTATTCATATTAAATAAATTGAAATTTTATGACAGGAAAATCTCAAACATAAAGAAAAAACTATGGCCAACACACATAATTCACAGTGAAATGTAAATAATATTTGCATTTTGCATGGTTACCTGTCCACCAACACAGATGAGGGAGAAATTATTTTACCCAGATTTTTAAAGCAGTAACTGGAAGAATGTCCTGGAATTCTAGGATTAATATAAAGTAGATATACCGAACTGCAATCTACAGATGATATTACTACAAAAGGAAATAAAAATGACCAACAAGGAATGAATTTTTATACTAACTGGATTTTTTGAGGGGAAAAAACCACACACAAAAAAACAAAAAACACCAGGTGTTAACCTGGAAAGTCCTTCTTGGGGATCTATGATGTCAGTGCTCCTGCCTCCACCTGCTGGCAAACAGATTATGAAACTAGCAGAGATCACTGGTTTAAAAAGTTGACATTTTTGGGTAACTTTAATGTCTTATGTAATTATTTAGCATGATGCTACTCTGTGTTAATAAATCAGTAATATATTGATGAAATCAATTAGGAAAAAACACACTGAACTTTACACACACAAAATTACAAAAGATTTCTTGGTTCAGAACATTGTCTAACAGGCCAAATCAATTTATAAATTGTTTTTAATTACCTGATAAATGACATCTTGGAAAAGGACTGGAAAAGTAAGTGCTGCATCTTCTAGCTCATTTAGACTACAGTGTACTAGTGTTTCATCCTTAAAATAAAAAGCACATACCAAGTGAACGAAGATATTTAAAGAAATTTCAAATGATAATTTCATGTACCCATGACCACCAAACACATTTATGAAAGTACTCATTCATATGTGGAATTTCATATTTATCATACATTCCTATGTGTGGCATAGCAATTTGGGATAGAATTTTCTAAGCCACTTGTTCTCAGGTATGGTCCCTGGACCAGCAAGTAGTATCAGCATCATCTGCAATGAAATGCAAATAAATAACTAGTTAGAAATGCAATATTCTAACTAGTTATAAATGCAAATCTTCCAGCTCCACTTGTGATAATTCAAAAACTCAGAGGGGGATAAAGAGGAGCTCAGCAATCTTTACTTAATAAGCCCTTGAGGTGACCCGGTGCATGCTTGAGTTTGAGAACCAGTGTTCTGAATTCTGCAGCTGCCAACTTTCTGTTAAGTAAAATAAATATATACTCCTTTTATTTAACAATTAGCAAATGGAAGTTTAGAATCTAATTATATTTAAAAGTACATATATTCTATTCACATAGCTCCTTATCCTTTAACCTTTTATGAAGATTTTTATATTATAAAATGGATGCCTCAGTATCTGTTGAGTATGTTTCAGACATAAACATTATTTAACTAAATTAGCAGTCAATGAAGACTTGTCATTTTTTTTGATTATCAAACCCTGTTTGCTATTAAGATGATAGGAAGGTGAGGATCTTTCCATCTAAGATATGTGCCAATATTTTTATTTCTTAAATAATGATTAAAAAACAGTTCTATTTGTAGTTAAGTGAGAAAACACTTTTTTTGGGAAAAAAAAAAAACTGCCAATGACTACCCCCAAAATTTTCCAATGCATTTACAATGAATTAAAATGAAACACAAATGTTCATACCTTGTGATTCCACATCTTATTAGCTGGAGTGTTTCTTTTAACCTAAAGTTAACTCTGGGGAGGCAAAGAGCAAAAAATACTCTAGATATGCCTCATTTTCTTTTAATAGCATATCAGTCTATATACATTTCAAGGTATTGTCTTAGCATCTAAAAAAAAGGTATCCTCTTTCCCTCAACTGAATCATAACTAATTCTACTACTTCTTCATCTATAGATTATCTAAATTTTGATCATTCTTCATTTACTTCTATAAAATTACTCATTTGTGCTCAGCCAAGTCCTATCTTTTCCATTTACCTTCACACTAGATTAAAAATTATATGGTCAAGCTTGCTATCATGACCACATCAACTCCTAACACAAAAATATAGCAAAAGCTCTTTTTTCAGTTTCTTCACTAACTTGCACATCAAATCTACACTACTCATAATCAGTTTCAAAATTTTTCTCTTGCTACTTATCCTCTAATAAATACCTAATACTTAGGACCTCTGGAGAGCTCTCTTACATCTCTTTGTCTAGACAAAGGCTAAGGTGCTAAACTCTCAAAAAAGAAATATACATGCTAGTTACGATTTCAAATAATAAACTTTTCCTCAAGAAAAAAATTTTATGAGAAATAAACATTTCCAATTATAGGATACCAGTAACAAAGGCTAAATAGTAACATGCGTCCCAATATTATGTAACAGGTAGGTGTTCAGTTCTCAAAGCTCTTCTGGTACCCTAAAACATAAATTTTTAACACACCAAGAGAGCATATTAAAGGTTTCATTAGCATTAAGAGCTCATGTTTTTAGGAGTCTATTAATAAAGTCATTGGTATTAGATAAGGCACAAAAATAAGAAGAGAAAAAAGGGCTATAATCTTGCATAAGGGCCATTCATTGGAACCCAGATAATATTTGGTTCTTCAAGAAAACATAATCCTGACACCACCCCCAGCCCCCACCCGAAAAAAGACGAAATCTATGCATGAAATGAAGTAGGATTTATCTGGAAATTAAAAAAAAAAAAAATCACAAGGGTCTCAGAAATATGGGGGAAAGAACTAATTTCAAAAATGAAACCTAATTTATTTTCAAAGAGTACCTGATGACAACCAAATTGAGGACCCTGGCATTAGACTATGCTTCAAATAAAAACATTTTACAACATTCACGACATGTTTTATAAATGTTTAAGATTATTCACATTCACTTTTAACCTTCCAGGTATTTTGGGCTAGTGTTTTAAAAAAGAAATTTAACTCCTTTATTTTCTCTACCAGTACATATAATATACATACCAGGTCTAAAACTAGGGAGAATTCTGGTGTGCTTCTTGTTTTCAATGGAAGAGCAGGTTTCCTATTTAGTTGTTCTTCTGTCAGTGGTGGAACATGTTTGATGAAATAATACCTACAAATCAAATTTTAAGAAAATCTCATTTCTACATTTTATAAATATAAAACATATTACTAAATTCAGCTTATATTTAAATCTTAAATTAAATAATATACTTTTAATCTAGTAAACCAAAACCTGTGAAATGTAAATAAAACTGAAAATATTAGTACTTCAGTAATTCAGTAAAAGTATTAATACCTACAAGTTACATGTTCTTTCCAATATACCATTCAGCCACCCGTCTACCGTCTTTCATTCTGCTCTAAGAGGGAAAAGAAAACAAAAAAACGAAAAAACTCACGGGTCAAATACTTCCCAATCTTCTTCATAGGTGGCCTCTGCGTGAGTTGATGAATAGCCACTATCTGGAGTTACTGGTGCTTAATAAAATGAAAAACAAAATGTTACTTTTACTCACTATGAAGTATACATTTTTACCGTTTTATATGATTTTCCTGAAGCCCTGTGTATTTTAGGTTCAAGAAATGACAGAAATAACTTACAAACAGTAATGCAAAGCAAATTTATTAACACAGAGATCTAACTCCAGACCCAAAAGAAAAAATTGCCATTATAGGTAAAATGGCAAGCTAAATCATGGCTGGCAGAATTAAAATCCCTCACAGCCAAGAGAAAATTTACTACTTATTATCAGAAACATACACTCCATGAAATTTCAGTTTCTAGCTGAATGGTGTTTTATATATATATAACCATAAATATTTCATGGGGCTCTTGTAAGCAGTGACACTTAGCAAACTACCCTGTACATGTATAAGCAATCAGTATATATTTGTGCTGACCTACAGCCAGAGGTAGTTTTTAACCTGAGATCTATAAACACTCCTTAAGAGGTTCATGAAACTCCCTTGAAAACTTATGAAAAAATGTTGTATGTACATTTTTACAGGAATCTCAGTGGTGTCTAAATTCTTTTAAAAAGCTACAAAATGCTGCTCTGTATAGAAACCATTGCTTTAGAAGAGGCTTTATTTTACTCCTAATTTACAAGCAACCTAAAAATAATCATGAAGTAATTCTATATTCCATGACAAACGGTCCATTCTACATTTAAGTTAAAATTCCGTCAAATGATAGAGCATTAGAAATAATGCCGGGAGGGGAGCCCGGCTGGCTTACTTGGAAGAGCATGTGACTCTGAACCTTAGGGTCAAAAGTTCAACCCCCATGTTGGGTGTAGAGATTACTTAAATAAACAAAAAACTTAGAAAAAAAAGAAATTATGCTGGGAATTTTCTAAGACAATAATTATAACAAATTCAAAGAGAGGACAAAATATAAGATTTTAAGTTAGAGGTACTGTCTCCGAGATAAAAGTTCAAGATGGATGCTACAGACTGAATGTTTGTGTCCCCACAAAATGGTATTTGGAAGTGGAGACTTTAGGATGTCATGAGGTCATCTACCCTCATAAATGGGACTAGTGCCCTAATAAAAGAGACTCGAGAGAGTTCAAATATTTTCTACCATGTAAGGATACATGATTAAGACAACTGTTTATGAACCAGAAAGCAGGCCCTCACCAGGTAATGAATCTGCTTGGTGCTCTGATCTTGGATTTCCCAGTATCCTAAACAGAGAAATAAATTTCTGCTGTGTATATGCCACCTAGTCTGTGGTAATTTGTTTTTGCAGCCCAAAAGGACTAAGACAGTGGGAACTCAAAAAAACTTCTATAGTCTATCTATAGGAATGCAATATTGGTGGATAATAATCAAAGGACAAAAACAAATCCTTTTTGGTATTACCAGGTATTCTTTTTTTAATGATTTTATCTCTTTTAGAGAAAGAGAGACAGAGAGACTGAGTGCATGCATGAGTGGGGAGAGCAGCGGGAGGGGAGGGAGAAAAGGGAGAGACTCTCAAGCAGACTCTGCAATCAGTGTAGAGCCTGACATGGGGCTCCAGTTCATGACCCTGAGATCATGACCTGAGCCAAAACCAAGAGTCAGACACTTAAATGACTGAGCCACCCAGGTGCCCCATCATGTATTAATTCTTTGTGTATGTATTACCTTGTAACATAGTGTATATGTTTAGTGAATGACAATAAATGTAAAGCATAATTTCTGTCCATCTAACAACTTTATGCCAATAACAGTTCATTAGCACAAGGGGTAATATAAAATATATCTTCTAACTACTTCTGTTTCAAATTCCTATTAACTTCAGAGAAAGGGGGAAAGGAAGCAATATTTGAGTGCACTTTTATTTCACCCCATTTAGTTTTCAAAACCCTGAGTTATTTCCCCTTCTAAAAGTCAGAAAACCATCTCAGAAGTTGACTAAAGTCACAGAGCTAAGTAAATAACAGAGCCAGTCTCCTTCCTTCTTATTCTCTTTGGCTAGGTTCTTGAAGTTAAGGAAAAATAATAGTAATAACCTTTGTCACTCATAGTCATCTTTTAAGATCAGCAAAAATTTTTCTTCTATCCGGTCATGATGCAGAGTAAATGCAATGTGCCACCTCATCATTTTGTGCACTTACTTCTAATATCACTCCCCACACTGTACAGTAATTTTTGTGATTACGTGGCTCATCAACTAGATTGTGTACTCTTCAGGGTCAAGGAGCATTTATCTTATTCATCTTTATAAATAACGTCCATCACAGAAAATAGGTGTTCAATAAATGTTAGGGGGAAAAAATGAATGAGACAACTGGAGTAAATTTTATTTCCCACCCTCCCCCCCCAGAAACCACTAATGTTATAGAAATCCCTTCTCTGTTTTCGCCGTTTTCAGAAAAAAATAAATAAATACAAATAAAAATAAAGGATTATAAAGCAGCACAAAAATAATGAACAACCATCAAACAAGAGGCCTGGACTTAAGTCTGTTTGCCCAAACACTGGAGAAGGAATGAGCATAAAATGATAGGTGAAGAGTTGGCTCCTTTGTAAATCTTATCCACCCAAGAATGAACTATGTGCATAATCCATTTTGATTTGACAGATTCATTATTATTCTTAAAATAAAACATTATAGGGCACCTGGGTGGCTCAGTCAGTTAAACAGCTGCTTTTGGCTCAAGTCATGATCCCAGAATCCTGGGATCAAATCCCACCATCAGGCTTCCTGCTCAGTGGGGAGTCTGCTTCTCCCTCTGCCTGTTGCTCCCCCTGCTTGTACTTTCTATCAAATAAATAAATAAAATCTTTTTAAAAATATAACATAATTTAACATAATAGATATTATGTTTAACATTATAGAAATTAATCTTTTATTACACCAGTTTAAAATAAATCTTTCCTGTTATGTCACTCTTCTCTTCCTATTGGTATTATTGGGTTGTGCTATATAGAAGTTTCATAATTGTATGCATTTTTTAAATGTTTTATTTTTTCAAGTTTCCCTTTATATTCAAGGGAAGAACATCATCCTACTTCCTTACACCAAACTACATTTCTGAACCAATACATATGTGCTAGGGTCTCTCAAATGCCTGGCATCATAGGAAATAAAAAGACAAATCTAAAATAAAAGGCTGAGATCTTGTTCCTTTGGGAAAAGATGACCATCCTCAATTTTATTTCTGCTTTTAAGCATGATGGAACAGTTTCATCTTTTAGCTTTATACATCTGTATATCACAACCCTCAGAGGTAATAAATTCTGATCTCATATGTTCTATATTTCCATGACAACTGGCTCAGGCTCCTAACAAGTATGTTAGGCCTTTATAAGGATCCAGAATTAGGCTGCAAAGTTTGGATGTAGGGAAAGATCTAGGAAAAGAAGCTTCTTTTGGGAGGATGTCATCTATATACGCAACAAATCTGAAGGTATACGGCTGCCTATAGGTGGGAACTCAGGTCTGAGACTGGTACAATTATATCAAGAGTGTATGTTTTGCTGTTTGTGTTAAAATTCTCTAAATAGTCAGAGTAGTACAAATAAACTGTAAAATGACTAATGCTCAATCAAAAACAACTTTTTTTTTTTTTTTAAGGATTTTATTTATTTGTCAGAGAGAAAAAGTACAAGCAGGGGTAGCAGCAGGCGGAGAAGCAGGCTCCCTGCTGAGCAGGAGCCAGACACAGGACTAAATCCCAGGATCCCAGGATCCCAGGATCATGACCTGAGCCAAAGGCAGATGCTTAACTGAGCCATCCAGACATCCCTCAAAGCAACCTTTTAAAAAAATTCAATTTCAAAATGACCAGATTTGGGGGAGAAAGTTTTAATTCCAATTTTAATCGTTTTATGTTCAAGAAAGAAAAACTTACGTATTTGATCTACTAAAGAAAAAAAATACTGCATTTTTATACATTATTCATGAAGATGCATTAAGAAAAGGAATTTTCTTCACCTGTAAGGGGTGGGATATCACGATTAACTGTTTCTTCTGCTTCTTCTAAACCATTATTTATTGATGGCCTCACTTGAACTGCTTGATTTGAGTAAGCTGCTCCATTTGTTGACGTAGTAGTACTGGTAGTGATCTCATCCACCTGTTCCATATCAAGTTGTTTTACTATCTCTTCAGCTTCCACAGCCTGTCCTGGGGAATCGGATCCTGATGTTCCTATAATCAAGATTCAGTATGCTCACAACCATCATTTAAAAACTCAACAGGGGGTTGGGGGAGAGGCATAGATGTTTTCAAGGGTACAAACTTACAGCAAGTAAACATAAGCCCTAGAGACTTAATGCACTGTAGAGTGAATATAGACAAATATTGTATTATAATCCTCAAACTTGCTAAGAGACTAGAACTTAATTGTTCTAACCACTAAAAAGAAAAGGTAATTATGTAATGTGATAGAGGTGCTAATTACTGTTACAAGGCAATCATATTACAATATATAAATGTATCAAATCAACTTGTTTACCCTTAAATTTACATAACGTAGGTGAAATATTATTTTTTTTTATAAACATATATTTTTTTTTCTCCAGGGGTACAGGTCTGTGAATCTCCAGGGTGAAATATTATTTTAATAAAAGTGAAATTAAGGAAAAGTAAACTCAAATATTTGGAAAAATTAAATGCAAGAGAGATAGAGCTGAGGATACCACTGTTAATGAGTCTTTTCCAGACATTTCAAATAATCAGGAATAAAGACTTATAAAATAGAATGATATTGGTGCACTAAATTTTCTTAAGTGTTCAAATAGTTTAGAAACACCTATTTATAGTCAAACCACAGTCATGATTTAGAACTTTTAAACATTTTTGAGATGTAACTGACAATATAACCTTGTGTAAGTTTCAACTGTATGTGTTGATTTAATACATTTATATATTGCATTATGATTACCAACCTAGCCTTAGGCTAACACCTCTATCCTGCCATATCATAACCATTTTTCCGTGGTGAAAAAAATCTAAGATCTAGTCTCTCTGCAACTTTGAAGTATACAATACAGTATTGGTGGCTATAGAACTTTTCAATAAAGCATATATCATTTATTAAAAGCCTACTATGAGCTAGGCATTATATATGTATTTTTTCCATTATCTTTTCCATTATTTATTTCCATTAAACAGCTCCTGATTCTTCCAGTACTAAACATCCTAGCCACTGTAGGCAGTTGTAATTTTTAAGCCAAACGTAGTTATCCAAGAATGAGCTAACTGTTCGCCTAATCATCAGACCATTTTTATTCAGAGACATAAGAACAATTTCCTAACAAGACTTGATCTTAGTAACAAAGACTGAAGTTAGTTTCCTCATCATACTCAACCACCACCTAGATGACCCTGTTGTCCAATTCTTCCACTATGAGATAAACCCAACTTGTTTTTGTTTTTTTTTTTAAAGATCTTATTTATTTATTTGACAGAGACAAAGCAAGAAAGGAAACACAAGCAGGGGGAACAGGACACAAGCAGGGGGAGCAGGAGAGGGAGAAGCAGGCTTCCCACCGAGCATGGAGCCTGATCCCAGGACCCAGAGATCATGACCCAAGCCGAAAGCAGATGCTAAACAACTGAGCCAGGCGCCCCCCAATTCTATTTCTTTATGGAATGCTCCAAATGTCATTTTCAATAAAATCAACCTCCCATACTCATTCTCCATTACAGCTTCAACCCCTTTCCAAAAACCCTCTTTTCCTGACATCTTTCCCACAACATACTGAATCAGAACTCATTTACTTCCATTGCTGCTACCAGATGAATGGTTTTCCACTGGATTTGCAAAAAATGCCTGTTCCTCTGAGACTGATGTCACTTAGCTATATAATTCTTCACTTATCCCCACTGCTGACGTCTCCCAACTGCAGCCAGCACCCTCTCTCAATCAGAGGAATTTAACACCTAGCTACCAGTTCAAAGCTCTATTAAACATCACCTAGTGGTTACTACAGGTGATATCAATGACTCACCTAAGACTAATCCTTAAAGGTCTTACCCTCTTTAACTCCTTCTTCGTTTATACTGCTTTCTTAAGCAACTACCATGACCATAACCTGGACATTCACACTAAGCAAAGGTTCATCTCTGAAAACTAAAGTTCAAATGTATCAATCTCCTACCATAACCTAATCTTTTATCTATCTCATATTCCTATTATATGTGATCTTCAAGTTTGATAAAAGCCAGTCTCTTTCATTCTAAACAATCCCTCAACAGCTCATTCCCCACCCTCTCATTTAGTTAGATTTCATGGTATATCACTTAAACCACTCTCAAACCAGCAGCTTCAGGATCCTTGCTCAGTCTTGACAGTCTTTCCACTGTCATCCATTACAGAAATCCCTCTTGAATCAATGTAACTTACAGCTTACTACTATGTGTGTTTCTTTAAATTATACCCAAAAGCAAACACTCTAAACCTTCACTGTTCTCTTCAATCCTTGCCACCAGGAATCTCAGCACATGTCATCATCATCTCCTTCAAAGAAAAAGTTGTAACTATCAAACATCAACTTCTTCCGTCCAAACACTTATTCCTCCAAGATCTTAGTTCGATGAACCATACAGACCATTTATTATTTAAATTTATTATTTATTTATTATGAAAAGACCATAGGTATTTTAATACCTGTAAGCTGATAATATAACAGACTATTGCTTAAGCCCAGATTTCTAAGCTCCACACCACACCAGGAAGGACAATGGCTACCAGACATTTTATTTGGCTGTTTCATGACATCTCAAATTCCGCATGGCCCAAATTAAATTCAATTATCTGTCTTCCAAAACATAACTTCCTGCTCTTGAAAAAATAACCTTGTGTCCTCTTAATCCCTTGTTTCTTTCATCTCCAATCTGTGCCCAAAATGTGTCCATTCTGTATCTCTGATCCTTCTTCTTTTCTCCAATATCACCATTAAGGTTGCATGAAGTCTCACATGGACTACAACTCCAATTGTTTACCCCACACACCTTTTTAGAATGTAGCCAACACACTACTGCCAAAGAGCTTTTTGGAAAACACAAATCTGTTCATGTTACTCACCAGTTCAAAATCTTTCAAACATCCTTCACTGACTAAGGATAAAATTAAAATTAAAATATCTTACCATGTTAGCTTTAATGTGCCAAATTTATAACTCTATCTTAACCCATCCTATGCACTCCTCAAATCCAATGCTCCATCTGTAACAAACTAATTTGTTTCTCAAACACACTATGCCTTACCTCATGCTGCTCATTCTATCTGGAATGCCCTTTACCAGATTCAGCTTTTCTATAAAGACTATTGTTAGATGCCACCAAGAATATAGAACCACTCCATTCTTTGAATATCCCACTGCCCCATACCTCTATCAATGCACTTATAAACATTTATAATACCTATTTATGCATCTCTCTCCCTCTTGTAAAAAAGCAAGCTCCTTGAGGGCAGGGACCATGTGTTAATCATCCTTGAATCTCCAGGGACTAGTACAATGGCTGGGACATGGCAAATATTGAACTGAATGAATTGAAATCTTCAAATCACCCCATCCCATACTTAAGTATAATTATCCTCTCTCACGGTTAAGAGGCTCCATTTGAAGAACTGGACCAAGGTAACACAGTTAAAGAGTGGCAGAGCTGGAATTTTAAAACAAATCTTTCTAATTCCAATGCCCATTCTTTTTCCACCACACCAGCTATTTCCAAAGATGTTCTAAGGGGCACTAGTTTTATAAGATATTAATTGATCTTCCACAGAAAAGGGTTCTTAAAGTAACATATGTCTAGAAAATACAGGGTTAAACAAAGTTAAAGGTAGTTTTTTGTTTTATTTCTACTATAGGATTTCACAAGTTCTTTCATGTGCCAACATGCATTATTTTTAGCTCCCAGAGCATTTAGATTTTATAGTGTACCACTCTGTCTTTTAAAAATTATATTATTATCCAGAAACATAATTCAGACTAGAATTTAAATAATCAGGCAACAAACATTTAACGGCTATTTTCCATGTGCCCCATACTATATCAAACAACTTGGTAGATGCAAAAATAAAGACATAATCTCTTACCCTCATGTAATCCAGAGACTAAATCAGCATTTATGAAATTAAGAATTAATCATCAAAAAAGATAGGACACTAAGTTAAATCTTTAATAAATATATGTGGGGCAGGACAACCTGGGTAGCTCAGTCCACTGGGCAGCCAACTCTTGGTTTCAGCTTGGGTCATGATCTCAGGGTTGTAGGACCGAGCCCCACACTGAGTTCTATACTCAGCATGCAGTCGGCTCTCTCCCTTTCTCTCCCTATTCTAGGGCCCGCATGCATGCTCTCTCTCAAATAAATAAAATCTTTAAAAAAATATATGTTGGGAAACAATCCAAGTTTCATTCTTTTGCAAAGGCATTGTATAATGAAAACCTTCAATTCATTTGCATTAGAGTAGTTACTAATTATCCAAATTAAAGATCCCTAGTGGGTCTTTGATGATAAATGATGAATGACAAAATGTGTTACAAATGATACAGATGTGTTACAGAAAATCACCTACTTTCAGTTCACTTAAAATATTTAACAAATTCTACTTTATTAATCTAGAACATTGAGAATATTTCTGGATTCTCTCCTGGTACACACTAAGGATTACAGAAATCATTCCAACATAAAAGAAATTACTTACTTTCCCTCTAGGCCAAAGTTTAGCATTTAACTTTTTAGGTAGTGAAATACTTCAACAGAATTAAACATGACCTAAATTTATCTCAGTCACACACACACAAAAAATGGTCTTTAAGAAGCTGTGTATTTTTTTTTCTTCAGGAGCTGTGTATTTTTAACGAGGCTGAAAACAAACATAAGATGCTGACAAAATATGCCAGTAAAATCAAACACAACTTTTTTTTTTTTAAATGTTTTTTTTTTTTAATTTTTTTTTTAAGATTTTTATTTATTTATTTGACAGAGAGAGATCACAAGTAGGCAGAGAGGCAGGCAGAGAGAGAGAGGAAGGGAAGCAGGCTCCCTGCTGAGCAGAGAGCCCGATGCGGGGCTTGATCCCAGGACCCCAGGATCATGACCTGAGCCGAAGGCAGAGGCTTAACCCACTGAGCCACCCAGGTGCCCCTCAAACACAACTTTTAAAAAACTAGGAAAACTATTAATTTTTTAAACCCAAATTATGGGTAATAGAGTTTATACTTACCAATTTTTTTTTGAAGATTTTATTTATTTATTTGACAGAGAGAGACACAGCAAGAGAAGGAACACCAGCAGGGGGAGTGGGAGAGGGAGAAGCAGGCCTCCTGCCAAGCAGGAAGCCTGTTGTGGGGCTTCATCCCAGAACCCTAGGACCATGACCTGAGCTGAAGGGCAGATGCTTAATGACTGAGCCACCCAGATGCCCCTATACTTACCATTTTTATTTGCTGGTGAAAAAAAGTTGAAGACAGGAGAAAATATGGTCCCCAACAATGTAGTCCTTGGAGGACTGCCAGAGGAAGGATTATCTTCTAATTTTCCATTTTGTTTTACATGTTGATTTGTCATTTCGTAACTACCAGCTTCTAAGAAAGAAACAAGAAAAAGGTTGCAATCTAGAAAACATGACTTTAAGAAATGTTTTAAACAATTCACTATGAAAATAATTTTTTGCCTCAAAATACTTCATAAAAACTGATGAACATTTAATGTTAAGAAAGCTGATTACTTAAAAATATCCTGAGGTAAATAAATTATAAATCAAATTATTTTTATAACAAGTTTATTTATAATGTTTTATAACTGCTACAAAGCATGCTGACATCTATAAGTATATAGAATGAAAGGCTTCAAAAATCCAGAGTGTTACAGAAAATGAAATAAATTCTTTGTAAGTAAAGCAAGTTATATCAAAAACATAAATGCAAGATCCTGTCCTTATTTACATTTTGGGAGGCTGCCTACTTCACAAAACCAATCTATTAGTACCAAATAACGGCTAAATAAGTAGAGGCAACATAGATCTACTGAAGTAGAAGACTGTGTACAGCAGTGTCCATTACTTACGTATACCCAAGCATCATTTCAGAGTGGTTAAGAACAGGTTTTTTTGTCTTTTGGTTTTTTAGTTTCTTATGAATAACAAAAATTTCATGGATTTTTGGAAAATATACAATAAAAATAAGTTCAAACAAATGTGTTTTGATTAACCATCCTTGACCTTCTGCAACTTTACTTGGTATCTACCACATTCTTTCCTTCTTTGAAATAGGTCTTTTGTTTCTTTTTCCCTAATTCTAACAATAGAGATACAACACTGAATTGAGGGGAAAGAGGTAAGGAATTATTCTTGTTGTGTTTAAACCAGCAATGGTTAAAAAGCAGTAATCCACACTCTAAAGTGTTGTTTTTTATAGCTTTCTCTGCTTATCCTTCCTTCTCCTTTTTGACTTTGAGGAGCTTCTCAGCAATATTATAAGATACTGACCTGTAACAAGGTTTATCAACAGCAGCACTACTGATTTTGGGGCTGGATAATTCTTTACTGAAGGAGGATGTCCTGTGCATTGTAGGACGTTTAGCAGCATCCCTAACCTCTACCTGTTAGATGCGAGTAGTAACCTCCCAACAAGCTGTTACAACCAAAAAGGTCTCCAGATATTAATAAATGTCCCCTGGGGACAAAACCACCCCCAGTTAAGAACCACTGCCCCAAGTGATACAAGTCCCCTCTGAGCTATGAAATTCCATGATCCAGAAATAAATTCTTTATACATATTTCAATACATTAAGTTTGATACATTAACTCAGTTAACTGAATTTATTAGAGGTCAAAAATGTTCCATATACATTTTTCTGATAAACAGCATAAAACTTGCTGCTCTGACTTTATTTATTTTAACTCATCAAAATAGATTTATACTAGATAGATGAATTTTTATTTTATTTCATGCTACTGATACTTAATACAAAGATTACAAAAATAAGGGAAAAACTCTAGAGTCAATTTTTAAAAAAAGAAAATAAACATGACAGGTAAGATCTCTGCTTACACCTAATAGAACAATATCTAAATATTAACAAACCTCCATTTACTTGACTTTTCCGTCTTACTCGAGATATCTGTTTGTTAGGCTTTTCTCCTGCTCTTGGTGTTGATGTGATCAAATTATTATCTATATCACGTTCAATCCTACTCCGTTTCGAAGGATTTTCTCTCTCTTCCTTAAGATATGAAGAAAAAAAACATGCATTGAGCAAAGGCATTCTGCCTTTAGATTATACTTATAAAATATGATATGTAGCCCCATGTTCATTACAGCATTATTTACAACAGCCAACAGAAACAATTTAAGTATTTATCTGTAGATGAATGTATAAGGAATATAAGGGGTGTGTACACACACACACATACACAAACACACACACCACACACACACACAGAAGTATTATGCAGCCATTAAAAAGAATGAAATCTGGTCACTTATGACAACATGGATGGACAACATGGATGTGCTAAGGGAAGATAGTTAAAATACTGTATGACCTCACTTTTATGTGGAATCTAAGTAACAAATGAAAAAAACACTCTGCTCATAGATACAGAGAACAGACTGGTGGTTGCCAGAGGTGGGTGATGAGGGTTGGCAAAATGGGTGAAGGGACTCAAAAGGTACAAATTCTAGGTCTAAAATAAATAAGTTATAGAAATGTAATGCAGAGCATAGAAACTATAGTTAATACAGTACTGCATGTTTGAAAGTTGCTAAGAGAATAAATTTTAAAAGTTCTCATCACCAAAAAAAGTTCTAACTATGGTGACAGATGTTAGCTTACTGTGATGATCATTTTACAACACATATATATAAATATCAAATCATTCTGTTTTACATTAAACCTAATATAATGCTGTATATCAATTATACCTCAATTTTTTAAAAATAGATATAATATGTGTAATATATTTGTTTTCCACATCCAGAAGAAACAAAATAGAACTACATAATATCCAACAGTGCTAAAAAACAAAGGAAAAATCTGACAATGTTAGAAGTTAATTATTAATGTACTTATAATACACAAATATAACTAGAGCATCCTTATAATTCAGATCGTTTCTCCTGAGTCCATTTAATTATCTATGCTGGGCGCTGGGTGGCTCAGTTGGTTAAGCATCTGCCTTCGGCTCAGGTCATGATCCTGGAGTCCCAGGATCATGTCCCGCATTGGGCTCCCTGCTTGGTGGGGAGTCTGCTTCTCCCTCTGACCCTCCCTCCTCTTGTGCTCTCTAATAAATTCTTTAAAAAAAATTAAAAAAAACAAACTGCGCTACTGAAATACTCAATTGTACAATCTCCTCTGAGTTTTCAGCAATTTTCCCCTATTCTTAAACTTGTCCGAAAGAACAGTGGTTGTTTCCTTGAGCACTCAGGATAAGAGACAGAATCCCATTGGAATTTGCTGGCATATCACATATTACCAAAAATAACAGGGCCTGCCATGCCACACCCCAATGCCAACCTCAATTCTTTAACTACCCAAATTAATACTAAAGAGTCTACTCCCTAATAAAGCTCCCTATTCATTTCCTTTTATATGGGGGAAATCCACATTACCAGTTAACACTGTTTTTGTAGTACTGACTAAAGGACTATATGCCAAGTATACTGTCAAAGTATACTGATTTTTCTTCATTTGTATATCTATTTTTCTCATTTGTAAAAGTTTTCTAGAATCATCTACCACATGAATGATTTTCTTACATTACTGTCATACTGGCGTATAACTCCTTGGTTTTTTGTTTGCTTTTTAGGAATCTCTACACCCAACGTGGGACCCTAACTTAAAACCCCAAGATCGAGAATCCCATGCTCTACCAACTGAGGAAATCCAGTGCCCCAATTCCTGCTGTTTTAATGAGACTACCTAGTATCTTTGGTAAGGATTACATTTTTAAATCTATATTAAATATAATCCATACATATAATCATTATTCTTATTCAACAGGAATAACTCCTTTATTTGTACTGAATATTTGTATCCAATGCTTTTATATCAGAGCAAATAAGATGCTGCTATACATTTTCTAAAGGTTGAATATTATTTTATTATTTTTAAAACAAACCTTGGTATTGTAAATGGCTACAATTACAACTGCCTATTTGGATCAATTCTACTCCTGAAGCCAGTACTACACTATATGTTAACTAACTTGAATTTAAATAAAATCTTGGAAGGAAAAAAAAAGATATTAAAGATTATTAAAAAGCTAAACTTCCCTAAAAAATAATTCCCTACTTAGATCAAAACAAAGATAATAATATCGGGGTGCCTGGGTGGCTCAGTGGGTTAAAGCCCACTGTCAGCTCAAGTCATAATCTCAGGGTCCTGGGATCGAGCCCCGCATCGGGCTCTCTGCTTGGTTGGGAGCCTGCTTCCCCCTCTTTCTCTGCCTGCCTCTGCCTACTTGTGATCTCTCTGTCAAATAAATAAATAAAATCTTTAAAAAACAAAATAAAGATAATACCAAAATACATCATTCCATATCATATCATACAGAATTTTACTTTTACTCAGTTTCTCTAATGTTAGGTACCTCTGTTTTTGTTTTTTAAAATTTATTTTTGTATGAGAGAGACAGCATGAGCACGCCCCGGGCAGACAGAGGGAGAAGCAGGCTCTCTGCTGAGCAAAGAACCTCAATCCCAAGGCCCCAGGATCATGACCTGAGCTGAAGGCAGATGCTTAACCGACTGAGCCACCCAGGTGTCCCTAGATATCTCTGTTAAAAGAGCTTTACAGCACAAAATAACGCTTCAGTGATCTACAACAAAATTCTTCAAATGGTTGCTATTTGTCATTCCCCTGCATTGTTTTTTTTTAAGATTTTATTTATTTATTTGACAGAGAGGTAAGAGAGAGCACAAGTAGGCAGAGCAGCAGGCAGAAGGAGTGGGAGAAGCAGGCTCTCCGCTGAGCAGAGAGCCCGACACGGGGCTCAATTCCAGGACCCCACGATCATGACCTGAGCTGAAGGCAGACGCTTAAACCAAATGAGTCAGCCAGGAGCCCCATTCCCCTGCATTTTAAAATCAATAGTAACTCTCATATCCCAAACACTGGCTCTCCATTGCCAGAAAACAGGACTCTATGAAGTCCTTCAAGAACAGAAATAATGCTACAAAGACAACCACACTAAGCTCCAGCATCTTCTTGAAGAAGCCTCTTAGTAGATCTGCTATAACACAAATACTTACATTCCTGAAAATCCTGCTTTCTGCAACGCTAAAAATAACAAGGCTTAAGGAAAAAATAATTGGTCCAGGAGGGCAGAGAGGGGTATACAAGGCCGATCAGTCAATGCCCCGATAACTCTGTAACCATAGCACTAACAAAAACAATGATTGGGACACCTCCAGAGATAACTTGGACACCCCAGTGAGGCAGCTAACAGCAGCTGAGATGCTACCTCAGGGCTTAATAAAAGGTAATAAAAACAGAGAAAGAGAACCAAGGGCTTATGGGAACTGAGAAGTGGAGCTTTAAGACAGTAGAGCTAAGATGGACACAAAAGGAAATGCAGACTGCCACATGAGAAAAGTCCCTGCTAGACCAGAGTGTACTTCTCTAGGAGGGAAGCCCCCCTCCCTGCCACTGCTAATTATCACTTCTAATTAAAAACCTCTGTGTGTATGTGTGTGTGTGTGTGTGTGTGTGTGTGTATTTGGGGATGGGGGGCTTTTGTTTCTGTAGCTGCTGAATTTAAAAAGTTTTTTACTTTCTTGATGAAATGTAAAACTCAATTCTCTGGGGCACCTGGATGGCACAGTGAGTTAATGTCTGACTCTTGTCAGGGTTGTTGAGACCGAGCTGAACCCATTCAGCATGGAGTCTGCTTAAAAGACTCTTTCTCCCTCTGTTCCTCCCTATCCATCTACACTTGTGCTATCTCTGCTCTCTCTCTCTCAAATAAATAAATCTAAAAAATTTCAACTCTCTCTATTCAGGATCCCTTTGTCTAGTTTAGGAAAAAGTCATGTAGAAAGCAATACACTACCCATGTTATACTGACACTGTTCCCCTATTTATCAAGAATCTATAAGCTAACTAATGTTGCAGAATTACGACACATTTCTTGTAGAACAGACTGTACTGTGGTCAATTAAAAATACATATAATATCTGAGGCACGTGAGTGGCTCAGTTACTTAAGCCTCCAATTCTTGGTTTCAGCTCAGGTCATGATCTCAAAGTCCTAGGATCGAGCCCCATGGTGTCAGGCCTCTGCGCTCAAAGGGATCACTCTTTTCCTCTGCTCCTACCCTTGCTTACACTAAGTAAATGTTATAAAAAATAAAGCATGTATGGGACGCCTGGGTGGCTCAGTGGGTTAAAGCCTCTGCCTTCACCTGGGGTCATGATCTCAGGGTCCTGGGATCAAGCCCCATGTTGGGCTCTCTGCTTGGCGGGGAGCCTGCCTCTCTGCCTACTTGTGATTTCTGTCTGTCAAATAAATAAATAAAATCTTAAAAAAAATAAAGTATGTAAATACATACGTAAGGTAAAAATATTTTAGCTTACATCTCTAAGGAGGAAGAGGAACCTATTAATATAAAGGTTAAAAGCTCTGTAGTCATTGACAATAAAATCCTAGTCTTCAGAATAATGCAATCAGATGTCTAATGATGCTCCAATTCTGAAAGACAATTCATCACCCAATCCCAGTCTTTCTTGAACATTCAACTATATAATTTGGAGACTTTATGAATGTGGCATAATTTTTTAAAGAACTAGGAAAAACAAGATTCCCACATTACTGTACAGGATGCTTTAATAAATTTATTAACCCTGCAATGTCTTCTTTGCAATTTATAGTTTTTGAAGTTGTCCCTAAAATAGGCATTTAGGGGAAAATCTTGGGAAGATAGTGTTCTTATGTCTCCGAACCCCAAGGTTCTTTTCTGTTGACAACAGAAAAGAAGGAAAGAGGGTACCTGGGTAGCTAGTTGGTTAAGTGTTTGACTCCCAATCTTGTCTCAGTCTTGATTTCAAGATGGTGAATTCAAGCCTTGCACTGGACTCCATTCTAGATATGGAGTCTACTTTAAAATACAAAAAGTGGGGGGGGGCGCGCCTGGGTGGTTCAGTGGGTTAAGGCACTGCCTTTGGCTCGGGTCATGA